GTTGACTGTGTTGGTGTGCGTAGATCGGGATACTGGGATGATTCATTCAGTGCCTCTTCCTGGAAAGGATACTACAGCTTTACAACATGCTGCCAAAGAAGTTCTTGGGTTTCTGTCCTACCTTGGTAGGACTGAAGTGGAGATCAGGGGCGACAATGAACCACCGATGGTAGCCCTGTGCGATAAGGTCGTGGAAGCTCGAAACAAAGCCGGTTTGTCAACCCGCAAGACTCCTTCTCAACCCTATGAACACCAGACCAATGGAGCAGCTGAGCAAGCAGTCTTGAGCATGCGGGACATTGGCAGCACTCTCCTACAGCAGGTTGAGCAGAGTGGATTTGCCCCCAGTTTGAACCCCGAGTTGATCCCGTGGGCCTATGTGCACGCATCGACTTTGCATAACTGCTTTTCAGTGTCTGCGGGAACCACACCTTATGAGCGCGCCTTTCAGGTGAAGTACAATGGACGGCTGGCGATGTGGGGCGAGACGATGCTGTTTGCTATTTCCGAGCCCCATCGACGTAAAGGCCGGCCGAAGTTTGCGAAGGGCGTGTTCTTGGGTAAAACCATGTTGAATGACCTCAACATTTGTGGCACAGCGTTGGGAGTATATTTGTCGTCAACAGTCAAGCGTCTTCCAGAAGCACAGCAATGGGACAAAGTGTTACTCAAAGAAGTTCAAGGTAAGCCTTGGAGGTACGGTTTGTCATCTATGGGGATGAAGATAGTACCTGGATTACGTGAACGCAAGCCGCGTCCAGAGCCCATGGCCGAACTACCTGTGCCTCTGCATCCATTACCTCCTCGTGGTGGATCAAGCCCAAGAGAGGAAGCTGTGTCTGACCCCACGTCAGAACCTGCGTCGCCTGACGCAGAGTCGGCTTCAGAGTCTAGCAGTGAACACCCAGGAGGGGATGCCAGAGGAGCCAAGCGAGATCGTGAGCCAGGAGGGGATGACGATGATTCGTCTCCTCAAAGCTTCCCTTCAGATCTGTTGAGTCCAACTGCTGAGCCAGCTCCGATGGTTGTTGAAGAACGTGGGGAAAAGCGAGATGTCCCAGAGTCGTCTGGGAGTGACCAACCGGTCAAGAAAGTTCGAGCTGTACGAGTTGGTGATGTGGACTACTTCGTCGCGGATGAGGAGATGGAGGACTGGTGGCAAGGCTTGGAGTTTGATGCCCAGTACTATGATGATGATTGGATGGACTTCACACCAGAGACGGATCCAGAGGTGTTCTGGGAAGATCAAGGAGAAGAGGAAGGACCTCCTGTCCTCTCTGCAGACCAGCTGGAGAAAGTGGAAGCCACATCGAGGCTGGACGAGAAGTCCAGACTCATTGACATGGGTGTGTTGGAGAAGGTGGAGATTGACCCTCCAGCGGACAAGACCTTGCAGTGCCGGTATGTGTATGACTGGCGGTTTAGGAAGCAGCACTGGTTGCGTCGCGCGCGGCTAGTGTGCAAGCAGCTGAAAGCATGGAGTCCGTTCAGGCAGGATACCTATGCTCCCTCAACATGTCCCTCGATGCTGCGTCTTCTACCTCACATGTTTGTGAGCACTCCAGGCTGGGTCTTGAGATCGTTCGATGTGTCGGATGCTTTCTTGATGGTGAAGCAGCGTGAAGAGTTGTACATCAGGTTGGACAATGAAGTTTACCGTGTCTGGAAATGTTTGCCGGGCCAACAACTTGCTCCTGTGTATTGGCATGATGAACTGAGTGGAGATCTTCAGACTTGTGGCCTTACCGGCAACGTTGCATGCCCAGTTGTGTATGGTGGCAAAGATCAAGCCGCTACGGTCCATGTCGATGATGGCCTACTTGGAGGGTTCGAGGATCAGGTTGACCAGACGGTTGGCGTGCTGAAAGAAAAGTATAAGCTCGAGTGCAGTCCTCCGCTGAAGGAAGTTGGTGATCAGTTGAGGTTTCTCAAACGTACGCTGGAGGTAGTGCCAGAAGGACTGCGGATAGTGATCGATCCAAAGTATGTGGAGAAAATCCTCCAAGTCCTTGGGATTTCCAAACCTCGCTCCCGCAAGGTACCTTCGACTACAGACTTGACGGCCCTCGATGAGACGGAGAAGCTTGATGCTATGTGGACCGGGAGGTACAGAGCAGCTTTAGGATGCTTGTTGTATCTGGCTCCTGATCGACCTGATGCGCAGTACACGATTGGTGTGTTGGCTAGGGGAATGTCATCGCCTACAGCAAAGCAGTTGTCTCATGTGATGTACCTAGCAGAGTACTTGTACTACACCCGGGACTATAGCTTGGTTTTGCGGTGGAGCAGCCCAGGGCGATCTTATTTGGACGAAAGCCCACGTGTCAGGCCGAGGCTTGATGATGGCGGAGAACCTGGGCCGCCTGGTGGAACCTTGGAAGCCAAGCCGAGGTTGCTGGAGGCCGTAAGTGATGCAGACTGGGCAGGAAGTGCTGATAGGAGGTCGGTTACGTCGGGACACATATTCTTGGATGGGAATCTGATGTTCTCGTACAGTCGACGGCAATCTACGATAGCATTGTCTTCATGCGAGTCGGAACTGATGGCCTCTACCTCTGCAATCGCGGAAGCACTTTTCCTGAAGAACCTTTTGACAAGTTTGACCAAGGACGCTGTGGACCTTGCTGCTCGGCTGGACAGCTCGAGTGCGCGCAGCCTTCTTACGAAGGCCGGTGTCTCTCGCATAAGACACCTCGATGTACGGCTGCTATGGACTCAGAGTTTGGTCCGTGAGAAAGTTTTGTCAGTGCGTCCAGTGGGTACTCTTGTCAACACCAGTGATCTCGGCACCAAAGTTTTGACCTCAAACAGGGTGAAGTATCTACTGTACCTGTTGGGCATGTACAACACCGACGGCTTGATAACTCCGGGAAAGTTTCCAAAACCAGCAGGGTCAGATAAATCGCAGGCAGCTGAAATCCTTAGAGTTCTTACTGCGGCCATAGCCTTGAGTCGAGCTACGGCATCTGATCCCGAGCCGAAGTGCAACGTTCCTGCTGAGCCCTACGGTGTGGTCAGCGGGATCCTCACGGTGCTGACTGAACCGTTCTTCTATATGTTCATGCTTGCGGTCTCAGTCGTGGCGATCGTTGTGTTTATGGCACCAAAGCGACGATGGAACAGGATTCGATGTGTGGACCCTGATGCTGGTGGTGATGGAGAAGGTGAGAAGGCAGTGCGAGAACCCTCTCAAGAGCCGAACTACTTCGATGACAGTTGGCTGTTTGCCGCATCTGATGACGACGAGGGCGGTGCTACGGAAGCCTATGTGCAAAGTTTTGTGTATGAGCCAGAACCAAGAGGGCAGACCCCAGATCTACCTGGACCTTCTACGGGACCTCATGAGCATGTTCGGGAAGGTGAGCATTTGGTCTGCGCTTGGTCTGCGCCCAATTTTGCCCGGTGAAACATTGGTCTGCGCTTGGTCGACACTTGGCCTGCGCTTGGTCTGCGCTTGGTCTCTGTGGTGAAGACCACTGGCCCTGACAGCATTGCACGTGCATGATACCACATATGTTGCAATGTGCAAATCATGTATTTTTTTATATGGATGGTGTTTGCCATTGCGGCTTTCTTGAGTGACTCAATAGTCTTCTATGCATTGCCGTTTCTTTCTGGATGCATGAGAGCAATGCAGACAATGCAGCTGATCTGCTATTATGGTTCAAACTTAATGGTCGTTTGTCCCTGTGCAACCAAGCATCGGGAGGCTTGAGAAACAACATGCCGCAGACAGCTCGGGTTTGCAATTCGTGTTAGAAGCATATAAGGTGTTGAAGCCAACTCACAACGAGCCCGAAAAGAGTGACATCAGCCAGAACGATGGGCTAATGTGGTCATTGCAACCCCTGCTGATTTCAAGCAACACGGTTATATCTCACAGAGTGCCCTCCCCATGACTACGGCCAAATGGTTTAACCGGAGTAGGGCATCGTGCAGATTGGGGGGCTTTCTGTTTTGTTGCCACACCCGCAGGACATCACATCCGCAAATCCACCCAGAGAGTTTTTCCCAGACACACACGCTGGACCATTGGATGGTCTTCATGGTGTTGCAGCCTCTACTCAAACAATTAAGCTCAAGATGCGGACACCGCATCACAAACACATTTTGATCTTTGGGTGTAAAAACTAAGCACCTGACAGAAACGATGCGACGCTGCAGAAATAAGCCCTGCACCTAGTCTTTTCTTTACGTTGGCATTCTTAACTTTTGCTCCCATGTTGCTTTGCATGCTGCCAAAACGATGCCACACAACCCTCAGAACCGACCCTCGCCCAACTTGAGCCGCCAAGAGACACAAGGGGTACGGGTATCCCTGCCATACGCCCTTCCCCGCCTATGGTCCCCAACATACCTTTGTGATCGTCCGACCACAATCCATTCTGGTGATCACTGTGGCAATCGCAAGATTCGCTGGCCCATTTCAGCGGATCTCTTCCACAGTCCAATGCCGCAATGTTGAATGGATGTTCTCTGTGATCAGTAGAGACCGAGGTTCTCGGATTCAATCTGAACCCTGGTACAATGCAATCAGTGTCCAATGTTTTCAGCAGTAATCCGAACGTGCTTCTAGTCCAGCCAACAGTGTCCAGAATGAGTGCAATGGCTTTTGCAGCTTTGATAGGTTAGTGTCTTAATGTTTCCTGCTTCGCTCCGCGATTGATGCTTCCCAATGGCGAAATGTTTCAGTGATCCTCGACTATTGTCAGTATGAAGGGGTTGTGTTACATGACATGAGCCCAAGAATGCAGAATGCACTTCATGGACATGATGCAGTTGTGAATGCTCTGATGCCGAATGGCATTTGCTCAAGTCTGGACCGAACGGCTTGACGTCACAAAAGAAAGTTTGCTTGACTGTGTGACGATCTGGGGAAAATGATTGACGTTGGTTGCTCGGGTAGGTTTAGATTGTCCACTTGAGTTTTACACGTTCACTTCGTCCGTCTGTCTGTCTGTCTGTCACTTCGGGCTCGCCCAGCGCGGGTGTTGCTGCAGGATCGACCGTGGTCGTTTCCTCCGAGACCGAGAGTATCTGTTACACGCAGTGTGCGCGGAGTTCCAGAAGGCCAGAAGGCCTTTGGCATTCCTCCACTCCCCGTCACCCCCCCCGCCCTTCTCCTCCGTTGCTTGCCTTGCGCCTTCAGGTGGATACATACCACCGTGGGCTTATCACCTCGTCGAACTTCGCCAAGGCAAGCAATCGCAAGCAGACCGTCGAGCGTGATCAGTGTTTGTCCCGTCGTGTCCAGCAGTTGCGTGCCAACGCTTGATGCCGTAGGCTCCCGTGAACCTGCCGCGCAACCAAAGCATGAGCTACTACTTCTCGTCTACCTCGCACCGAAGACATATCGATTCGGCGCAGCGATGGTGCAAAGGGAGAATCAAAAGGCAACCTACAAATCTCACAGGTGCCACAAAGCCCAGCAGAGCCCTCCTGGAAGCATGCATTCTATGCGTCGTTAGTTTCATGATCCGGCCGGATTCCCAGGGTGCCAAGGTCAGCCACCGCTAGGCATCCGGAGGGCCAAAGTTCAAGGAATCTTCTGAAGGTCTGTGGCAGACGCGCATTTGATTTTGTTCAAATTTCAAACGTGGAGCGGAAAGCTGAAGAATTCGATGTACTGGCATCTACTCACTCGCGCAGCGTACTTGTGCTTTTCTCTGTTATTTTCCCATAAAGACGAGCAGGAGGCCTTGACCAGAAAGCTCAGCCACATGTAGAGCATTCAACAACAGATAGCCTCAGCTTGAACGATCACAACCCATTTCATACAGCTATTGAATTACATAGCTCGTGGTGGGCACGAATGCTTTCCAGCAAACACCGTCGAGTAGTGACGATCGCGAGTCAGGAGTGGCACAGGCAAGTACAGTACACAAGAACTACAGGTCAAACGACCTGAATCTTAGTTTTCTGTCTCCTATTGTCGCAGTTGTGGTGGAATTGAAGTCCAAGACAGCTTTCATTGGCAGACTGAGGTGACACTGGTAGGATTGTTGAGGTTGGCCCACCGTCTTATCCGTACCCGTGCCTGATTGCACGGACCCAGGACACTGCAAGAAGTGTGGAATTGGTGAGACGAACCCTGAAAAGCGTGAGAGGCCTGAGAGCCGCTTAGCAGCCGCTTTGTCGGAGGCCTTGGCCAGCCTTGGCCTGCAGTACGGACAGCCCGAGGCCGCCGCCGCAGAGCGTCGCAAAAATTTCCAGAGCACTTCACTGTCGCGGCGCCTCTGCAGGTGGATGATTTACTCCAGTACTGCCAAGTCACTGACGATGGCTACGTGCATTACAAGGCTGCCGTGCTCATGCTGCCCCATAGCAGTGCATGCTATCTTGCCTCTTGGGAGGAGCTCAGTGCGTTCCTGTCCCCACAGCAGCCCCGAGCCAAGCAGAGCCAGACGCTCAGAACTCCCAGCTGCCGGCCTGGAGAAGGGGCGGCTCCTTTGTCGCCGGTCACGCCCCGTATTTCGGCTCGCCCGGCCCGCCTCGCTCACGCTCTCTCTCTTTCGCTCTTTGTCTCTCGCTCTTTCGGCTTTCGAGGCAGCTTGAAGCAGACCCTCTACCCAGCAGAGGCTCTGAGCTCGTTTGCGGGCTCAGCGTTTCGGGTCAGCTCTGTCTCTGAGGTGGCTGCTCCGCTGCCGCAGGACCAGCACCACGGTTTCTTCGTGGCGCGAACGGAGGACATCCGAAAGGCTTGGGCCTGGGTGGAATGGGCGGCTTGGAGCCAGCGTAAGTGGCTCTGGGCTCTGCACAGGTTTATTCACTCTGGGAGCGTGGCCGCATCTCGAACGATCAGTTCAAAGACGGGTTGCAGAGCAGGGAGACCCTGAAGCTCATTTCCTCTACCTAGCTGACCTAGCTGCTGCTTGAAAACGAGGCGCTGGTGCACCCTCTCCGTTGCCAGAAGAGCTCGACCGGCTGCTGGTAACGTGCGCAGTCGGGAGGGGTCGCATCATGGGGCCAGCGGATCTGGCGTCTACTGTAGGTACGGACCGGCCCGGTCCTTGCCATTCAGTCCCTGGCCCAGACCGGAGACTGAGAATTTTGAGAGGTCGCGGTCAGCGGTTCGTTTCGACTGCAGGCAAGCTGATGTATGCTCTGCAGATCGACGCGAACGACGGCCGTCGAGCTCGGAACGTGCCGCTTGCCTGGAGGCGACAGGCTAAGCGCGTCTTCGGGGCCAAGCACCACGGATCTGCACCTGAGGCTAGGGGTGCCCCCTGCGGCCGCGGGCCTCGGAGAGTCTAAGTCCAATAGACACGCAGAGCTGCTGCGCTGCTGAGAGTGGCTGCGGCTTCGAGGTTTTCTCGGAGAGCCGCCGCTGGGGCCCCGGCCCTCCCGGCCCTCCCTTCGCCTTTCTGCGCCCTGCGGACTGCAGGTGCGGGTGCCGCTGGGGGAGCGCCCTCGGAACTGTCGCTTGGACTCTATAGACTTTGCAGACTCCGCAGTGTGCCGAGAGGGACTTGCGCCTCGCGCTGGGTTCCACCTCGGGGCGGGGTTTCGGGGGCACGTGCCGGGCGGGCCGTCGAGCCGCCGAGCCGCCGGAGCCGCCGACCGCAACCGCGGTGTGCGTTTGAAGGGGTCTGAATCGGAACGAGACCGAGGCGAATCCCGTCGTCTTTCCGTGTTGCTGGTTTTAAACCGCGTTGAGCGCGACGGAGGCGTTTTCACGGTTCCTGTCTCGGCCCTCCTTCGTCCACTGCAAGGAGCGGCAGCTTTAAGTGCAAGCTGGGAGTGCTGCATGTGCTGCATGCGCTGCATGCCGCATGCCGCATGCCAGTCTGTGTGACGAGCTGCCTGTGCCTCGGATGGCGGCTGCGTGAGAGATCGCGGGGGCGACAGTGGGTAATGACACCGAGGGCGAATCCGGGCTCCTTGCGCCAGGCGAGGGCGTGAGAGAAAAGGAGAAGACAGAGCGCTCGAGAGAGCCTCCGAGCCTTTTTCTCCTCTCTCTCGTCGTTCCGGCTCACAGGCGCTCTCGGACTTCGTGGATGGGTTGATCCCAGCAGCAGCTCAGCTCTGTTTAAGGCCGAAGTTCGGCCAAACGGCGGCGGCCCGCCGCCGGACCCCTTCCGCCGCTCCCAGGTGACCTTCCGTCTGCAGCTGCAGCGTCGGGAAGCCCGTACATGAGTACATGGAGTACACTGTGGGAAGACAAAAGCTTTCAGATGAGTGATGTCGCTGAACTTCATGTGTCTAAGTCTGTGTTTTTCTTTTTAGGCTTCGGCGTGGCTTTGACGCCGGAGCTGGAGAAGAGGATCCGCACGCACGAGCCCGGCAACCCAGCTGCCCAGCTCCGGTGGGCCCTTGCCACCTTGCTCGGTACCGAAATGTACCCTTGTTGCAAAAGGCCAAGTGGAAAGGTTCGACTCCCACGTCTCCACTTGCTGCTAGTTACTAGTTGATTGCTCAAAAGCAAAGCCTGACTTAGCCGATTTGTTTTAAGTCTGTTTTGTCGCTTCACTCGCTGCGCCGTGGTTGGGTCTTCCCCGCTTCGCTTGCATGGCTTGGCCTAACAGAGGTTGTTCTGGTTTGAGTTGACGGCTTACAGTCCAGGTTTGCAGCGGTGCAAGCTTTGCATTTTTGGCAGAACACAGCTTTGGCAGGCCAGCAGACCCCGATAAGGAGAGTTAAAACTGCCCGTAGCGAGTACTTCCGAAGATCATTTGAGTTTTGAGCTTCACTGTGCAGCATTCGAACTTTAAGCTGTGCGAAGTGATTGGATCTCACGGTTGGCATGCAACGCTTTAATTTGAAAGTGGCCACAGGCGGTCGTACAAACTGTTGAGAAGGCCATTTTTAGTGGAAATGTATTTTGTTGCATTTGCGGGAGGTTTTTCTCCTTGTTCGCTTTTCTTTTGTGTTTCTTCGCTTTTCCGCTTCGGAGCACGAGCTGTCATTGAAAATTGTTTGGAACACCAGACGAGTAAACAAAGACACGCATCCGCATTCTCACATCCTTGTTTTGAGACCTTGTCACATTGATTCCAATCGCGATCAAGACATGTATGTCGCAAAACAAGCGCCATGTGCCACCTATGGTGATTTTGAGGTTCCCAAGATGTGGAAGCAGTCAGACAGGAGAGCAAGACAAAATAGTGGGGCTAACACCAGGCCAGGAGACATGTGCATTGCATGTCGAAAACGCGCGGGTCTGCATCGTCTTTGCGCAAGAGGTCTGAGGAAGATTTTTTGACCCGGTGCTTCGGAAGATCACTGCAAAGGTATGAGTCCCGCACATAGCCATCGCCGTGGCGTGCTGCCTTAAATACCGGCGGTTTTAATTGCCCAAGATGCCAAAGACTGGTGGCACTTAGAATCACACCCAAAATATCAGCTACTTCAACAAGTATTAATTTACAATGATCTCCTCACGGGGTCCGCATCTTGTGCACATGCCAGGGACACGCCGAAGCTTGTCCCAAGGAGCACCTTGTCGCCTCGCACCCCGAGTAACCACCGCTCTGTATGTTTAACGCAATTCCCAACTAGGCGCATGGCCGGCGGGTCATTTCCCAGGCGCTCAAACGACCATCGCCCAATAAATGCAAATAAAATTCCCACAGGCGCAAAGAATTCCACGGAAATTCGACAGCCAAAATACTGGGGAGCATGCATCGGCACCCCGTCAGAAGAATTAAAGAGGATCTTCAGAACCAGCAGTGCAAGCCATTCTGTGTCTGTATTTATATCGGTCCCACCATGGGCATTGGCCATATCTTTGATCATATTTGTATCTCTATCAGTTTTCTCATGTCCATGTCTGTGTCTAAGTCTATGCCTATGCAAAGGCATATGGGTACATCTGCGTCTATATCTATTGTCTATTGTTAATATTTCTATTTCTGTATCTATGTTGACCCCACCAGATGGAGCAGCCTGCAGTGCGACGCATTTATTCGGATTCCAGCATGACTATACCTCAACAAAGCAAAGTGCACGTATGTGCAAAGCAAAATGTGGCAGTCCCCGATTTCATCAACGAGCTGGCCGTTATCTCCTCCGACTCGCTACGTCGAGTCCCTCGTTGCAATCCCGACAAGCCGAACCCAGTGAACTGTTTGGGGGGCTGGTGGTGTTGATGTTGAGGAAGGTAGTGGAGTTGCCGGAAAAAGAGTTGAAGTCGCGCTTGCGGAACCCGAAGTGGAGAGTGCTATTGGTGAACAGCTTGAAAATTTTCATACTCCGCCATGAACAAGATTTCGGCCGCGTGTATCCCACAGGATGAAGCAAATGAACATGTCCATCATGCGGTCATGGAGTCTCTGGCTTTCCTGACGGATGGTTCTCGACACCTTCTTTGCATTCTATGTGGTCACATAAAAGCAAGTGAAGACAAATAAACACAAACAAACACAAGCAAAGAAAGCACGCAGACATCAAAAGCCACCATGGTTTCAGATTAATCGTGTCTGCAGGGATCTGAACCGCGAGTATCCGAGGTTGCAAATCATGTCAATGGAGCAACCATGCTTTCGTTCGAATATTCGGCAGCAAGTAACATCGTTTTTTCAAGAGCTGCTGTCAGATGAGCAGATGATGTAGAGGATGTTGATGATGTAGATGGCGTAATGACGTAGACGTATAACGCATAAGGATAGGTCTGGGTCTAGGGTTAGGTCTAGGTCCAGGTCTAGGTAGAGGTAGTGGTAGAGGCAGAGGTAGATGTGGATGTAGGTGTGGACGGATATGTCGATGGATGTAGATGTAGATTGAGATGGAGTTGGAGCTGTAGATGTAGATGTACAGGTACATGTATGGTTAGATGCGGGGCAGAATTATAAGAGGCGAAACCTATTAGCTACACAATATGTCATGTATGCCGTGCGTGTAGACTTTCGACTGGCACCATGCTCTTCTCTCTGTCTCTCTTTCTCTCTCTGTCAATCTTTCTCATTTCTCTGTGTCCAAGGTCCGACAGCTCCGTTCGCTTCCAGGACTTTGCGCGGCTCCTGCTGCGCCAGGACATCGAAACAGTGTGCAGAGTTGCAGCAGAAATCAGCGACATAGGCAAAGTACAAGCAACATGATGTAGAGTTGTGAAAACGTTGTAGAGGCTTGAAAGGCTGCTTAGCTTGGGTTCGCTTGATCTTCTCGGTATCGTTCCAAGTTTATCGGAGGGCCATGAACCACGCGGAGGCTTGCCACACTTTTCGCCTAGCACATTGAAAGTCCTGAGTGTGCTGAACGGCTTCTGTCTACCGATTGTGGCAAACTAAAGCTGGCTTCTGCCGATCATGGCACCCCAAGGTGCTGGCTCTGCCGATCATGGCATGCACTTCAAACGGCATCAGCATCCCACACACAAGGTTTTCTATGACAACTTGAGGGATTGCATACTCCTCCTTAACTTCCATTGTTCAATTGAGGTCACATTGCGTAAAATCGTATGAACCGTTGGTTCTAGTGCTGCAAGGCTGCTCCACAGTCCGCCACAAGCAAACAGTTGCCTAAGATGACAACCGCTCAAAAGAGACAAACTCTTTGTCATCATTCACCTCGTATTCTCAAAACGGAGAGTTCGTCTGGCAGATCCGTCATGAGTTCGCTTCTGGTAAATGGGATGTTGCCTGCTGCAGAAATTGCACAAGCGATGCTGAGTAATCCGATGCGAAGCCAGCCTGGAACCCTGACAACTTGGATTCATGTGCACAGTATCTTCGAACTCTGAGCGAAAGAACGGACCATCGAAGTGCACATACCAGTCATCGTCTTGAATCGTCAACCTCACTTGTCGTGGCGGTGTCACCACCACCGGCGCTGACACTTGCATCCAATCCTCAGTTTGCGTTGCTATCGATCGTTGCCGAACTTCCAGGGAGGAAGGGAACCAGGCAGTGCTTGACATAGCACCCAATGTAGATCGTCTCGCAGTCGCCTTCGCTCTGGACAGCTTCTGCTGCAGCCTGCGCTAGGTCCCTGAGCTTCGGACGGAAGCAACAAATCCACTTCGGACGGAAGCAACAAATCCACACCTGCTTGCCAGTTGCCTTTACAATTTCCCACACCAAAATCGCAGCTGCACACGCCAGGATTGCAACAAACACCAGCTCATCAACACCAACCATTTTCACTGAATCCTTGACTTCCTCTGCATCCGCTGCCGTTGCCCTTGGCAACGAGTCTAGCAACCGAAGTAGCCACATGATCGCCGTCATACGATCAACCAGGAAAGCTTCAGCCTCATGTGGGAGCTGCTCGAACCTCCACAGCCTTTGAGTGAACCTTAGTTGACAGGTCCGCTCGTTGTTTCTCGCCATCAACATGTTCCACGAAGCGTCTTTTCTTGAACCCTCTGAAGTGTCGTGTGCGCCAGCTTCCGGGCCCACCCAGGATCATTGCTGTAGCCGCCGAATTATCTACACACAACTTTCGAGGCACCACAAACTGTGTGCCAGTTCGTCCAAAAGAACGCCCACATTCTCAAGAAGTACTGCCGCCTCTGTTGCTTGGTAGAGCTCCGATTCCATGATTGACAGCATAACAAACGGCTGTTTGCCGCAGCGCCAGCTCACGGGTGAGTCTTCCACCGTAAGCAGGGACGCCCCAAAGGACTTATCGTCAAATGGTGCATAACTAGCGTCAGAAAAACCTACTAATCTGAGACCACTAAAACCGTTGGGCTTGCTTGCTGCTTCTGTGTCCTGCTGGTTGGTGTTGTTGTCTGCTGCAGCTTTATTGGCAGGCTTTCCCAAGATCATCCTCATGCCCGCCGTCTTGTGCAAGTAGGACAACACCCTGTAAGCGATCCTCGTCACTCTTCTTGGATGCCTTCCAACCCAGCTGGCCATGTAGCTTACAGTGAAGTGAACATCTGGACGGCATCTCATCGCTAGCCAAAACTTCTCTCCGACCAAGCGTTGGGCAAGCCGTAGGTCTGCTTCACTGAACTCTTCGGCTTCCATGTCCACGTTGTCCGAGATCCACTCCTTCGGGCATGGAAGAACGGTTTGAGGGGCCTCAAACAGATCATGACCACGATGCCAACCCATGAGTCACCTCATACTCTCCAGTCTCCCGCTGGAAAATCTCCATTCCAAGGTAACTCCAGGATGAACTGAAGCCCACTGGAGCTCAGAAGTAGTAGGGACGTGCCTGAACAGATGAACTTCCGTACATCTGCTCATGGATGACGTCTCTTATCCAATACCCTGGCTGCAAACTCGGTAGAAACTGAAAGGCCATGCATAGTCATGTCATGGCTTACTTCGGCAGCAGTCATAGCTGTGACCCATTCGGGTGGGCTAAGCTTGTTGTCGAGAGGTCGACATACAGTCTTGGGAAGGTTGTTGTGTCTGTAGCGCCACGCAAACGTGCGACCACACAAACGGCACCAAAGCTTACCGTATGAGTCTTCGTCTTTTGGCTCCTTTCCAAGCTTTCGGTTCCAAACCAAACAGTGTTTTGGGATGTTGTACTTGGTGTTCATATCGCGCTCCAACTTGTCCAAACGAGCTTTGGCATTGATCTTACCAGGAGTGTCCATCCAAGCGCTGGGTGGAAGATTCGGAAATGGACATTTGTTTTTGGAGAATACGAAGATTGAGATGTTCCAAGCGCGATGTGCATTTGCCACATTTGACGCAAAAAGCGCCCCCTCCATGATACCGTATCCGATGACCGCGCTGTTCTCGGTCGGATGTTTGCAGGTTCACTGGCGCGCTGCTGGATGGCGGCTGCGAAGGTGGCGGACTTGTTTGACTCCCAGAAGGCAATCCATTACCTTGACTATTGTCTGTCTGATGGGGGTGGAGGAGCTTGATCATCAGGAGGATCTTGACCGTGAATGTCCGTATCGTGCCACTCCCTGATGTGTTTTCGCCATATATCAATGAGCACGTCTTGGATCTGTTTGATCTCTTTAAGCGTGAAAGACATACGGGTTGTGGGAATGGCGGCATAACGAAAGCATTGAGGGCTGCGCAAAATGCGCTGTCTCAGATGTTGGATTGGAGCCCTTTGAGCGCTGTAACGCTTGCAATTCCAGTGAATATGTAAAACTTCGTTGGGCACTTTACATACTGGACAGAGCACAGACTGTTGCTGTCTATGACGACCATCACGTGAAGGACACATGAGGCCACCCGTCAAGATGTAAATGAGGATTTTGCTTCGCGATCTAGGATCTTTTTCAAAGTGGGGGCCTGGAATGCCGCGATCAAGAAGGAGCTGCAAGCCATCGGATTGCAGATGTAGATCATGAAGAAGAGCTGTAGCTTTTGTCCTGTCCACCCGCTCAATGCCCTGGAAATCTTGACGTGAGTGAGGAATTTGTCGCAGATGGTGTTCACGCCAACGTTCACGGAGATTATGTTCCCAGGAACGATCCTTGTCGGATAATTGTAGAATTTGTTGGATTGCAGGTCTGTAAACGGGGTCCGAAAACAGTTGCTGGGCACGACGTAGAGGGCCTTTCTGTTGTCCGGGGACAGAATGAAGATTGTTATTGATGTATTGGCGTTGGGGAGCTTTGGAGCAGAATCGCTGAAGTGATCGTAGAGCGGCAAAGTTCATGGCAAAAAGCGGTTCCAAAGTGGGCATAACGACTACCGTGTACAGAACCATGGGCGTGAGGCTGTAGTAGCTGATGCGAAGAAGTGCTCGCGTCATCGAGGCTCGCATGGTCGTAATGCGCGATTGCGGAATATAAAGATCATGAGTACCTTGACCCCATGTTAACCGATTCATCAATTGTTGTTGTGCGAGAAGTCTGGCGCGCCATCCAAGCGGAAGAAGACTGCAAGCCCGAACTGATGCCAACCAGCCGTCCACGCGTTGTTGCATGAGTGATGTCCACGACGATGCGGTGCCACAAACAATGCTTCCTCCGACGAGTCGAAATGCTTCTTTGTGATTTGGTATGTCAGGCAGAAGATTATGAGGATCCCCATATGTGAAGCATTTACCGGGATTGAGCTTACTACCAGAGAGTGTCGAAAAAGTTTGCACGGTTTCGTGCGTGGAGCGCAATCCTGCACGTAAATGTCGTAAGTCCTCGGCAATAACAGTTGCAGAAATATCGTCCACATAGGCCTTGGGCACAATTTTCGCGCGAGCTTGACCAAAGTGACCGTGTTGTAACCGTTCCAACCAGCATGCAATCAGACTGGCTAAAAGGATGTTGCTCAAAGGATCTCCCTGTATGATGCCATTGGATGGAGTATATGCTTCACTGAACGCCTGTCCAAGTTTGAAGTGCTTTTTGTGGGACTTGTAAAAGCCCCGCAAGCCCTGTATGACCGACAGAGGAGCTCCTCTGTAAGTTAAGGTGTCGATGGCAAGGTTGGGAAGGATGTGATCGTAGCATTTGGAAAAGTCGTATGATAGTCCAGCGCTACAGTGATCATCTTTTTCGGCAACCTCCAACAAATAACTCACATCAACTGCTAAATCATCGGCACCTTGCCCTGGACGTAGTGCGTAGACTTCAGGAGGTAGTATACGGAGAATCCACGGCATGATGTGTCGACAGCGAGTGCGACTCCATAAGCGGTAAAGTGCGCTTACTACACTTATTGGTCTCATGTCATATGCACTTTCTACCTGTCCTTGAGAGTTCAAATTTTTGGGCAACATTGCCACATATCCAACAGTCCAGCTGCGAGGCCAAGTAGCCAGTTTTTCACACATGTTCATAAGCCGTGCCAGGTACTGAAACGCTGTGGGCATGCGTTTCCCAGCAATCTCAAATCCTGAGGCCGCCAACCGTCCAAACCCGCCGCACTAGGCTTCAAGGATAACACCGTTTCCAGAATGTCATGTTGCTGCAGCTCGTCAAGGTCATGAGGCTCCCGCTTGAGGAAAGGACCATAATGTTGAACAAAAGCCCAAGTCGTAGGAGGGTTCTTACGGTGTTTACCGAACACTTTGTCCCATTCTTGTATTAGTGACCGAAGTTGTCGAGATGGGTCGATGGTGAAAGCATTGCCGACCTTCATAACAATAGAAGAATAATGTTTGTGAT